AAATATATATATCAGTTTTTTTCTATTATTCTTTTTAGTTAAAGAGTTAGTACTTTAGGTCTTACTACACCTAAAAATAAGATTAAAGCTATTTAAAATTTTAAATTTTTTAAAATCTTATTAGACTTTAAATACTATTTCAGCCTTACTGGTTGGCTTTATTACTATATTAAATATTATATATCTAAAACTACATTTCTTTAAAAATATAAAATACTTTTTTTATATATTTCAACCAACTAAAAGAAGTCCTAAACTATCTAAATATTACTATTAATATTATATAGTAAAAATATTAGTAGCAAATCCTACCTTTAAAAGAATTTATATATATAAAATATTATAATATAATTTTGCTAGTTCTAAGATACTTATTTATTTTACTTAATCTAAATAGTTATATATTAATTTTAATATTTATTATATAAATATAGATATTATAATATATTACTTTGTTACTAACTATAAGTAGAAAAACCTTTTAAAACCTTTTTTAAAAATATCTGTTTATCTGGTTTTATTTTTTAATTATTTATTGACTTATACTAAAAAGAACTACTAACCGACTAAATTAAAAGTCTTATATCTTATTTAGGCTCTTTAAAAGCTTCATTATATAATCTAAATAGCTAACTATTTTATTATTTTTTATACTAATTATTTAAATACTATTTATTATATTATTAAAGCAGATATTTTTAATACTATTATTTTTAAATACTTAAATCTATATTTAGTATATATAAATTAGTATATATAGTAATTTAAAATATATATCTACTACTATTCTAGTATTACTAATACTATAGCAGATACTTTATTTTATTTAGTTTAAAAAAATATTTTTTATACTACTTTAAAAGAGTATAATCTTAAAAATACCCCAGTTAATATTTATATAGCTAAATTCCTCCCTATATTTCTATATATTAATATAGTATTCACTGTATATTTTACTAAGCTTAATAAAGTATCTAAATAATATATTCATAATAGTTATATATTTAATAAATATACTTCTAGAATTGTTACCATTTTTTAAAAAAACTTTAAAACTAATATATCCTATATTTTTAAAAATAGTTTGCTTTTTATATTTAAATATATTATTTATAATACTGTTACCAGTTAAATTACTATTTAAATTATTAATATATTAATATTATTAAAAATAATAAATCTACAATCTTTAAAAAACTATGAATATACCTGCCTTATTTATTTATATCTAAAATTTTCTGTTTAATTTATAACAATTATTACTACTAAGGATTTAATAAATATATTTTAAAACTAAATAATTTTATTTTATATAAAAAATATAAGTTACTCTATTAGTATATTACCTATTATTTTATATATTTTAAAAATAAAATATATTACTATTTACTATATAATACACTCCAACCTATTATTTTAGACAGACTATTTAAAACAATTATTATAGATGTTATTATTAAACTTTTAAATAAGTATAGATATAATAACGCCCTTATTATAGTTGATAAGTTTACTAAATATATTAGTATTTTAAAAAGTTACTCTAAATAAAAAGTAGACTAATAAGATCTTATTCTTATTAACTATATAAAAAATTATAATTAAGATATTCCAGAGTTCTTTATCTTAAACTAAGATACTAAGTTTATATTATTCTTTCAAAAAGGTCTTTTTAGTACTTTTAGTTCTATATAGTCTTACTCTACTAAATTATATTCTTAAACTAATAATTAGTTAGAGTAAATAATCTAAAATATTAAAATAATAATATATTATATATATATATTTACTAAAACTTAACAGTAGTCTACAGTTATTCTATTTATTATTTTAAATATTAATTTAAGTCTAAATATCTTTGTGTAAAATATTTTATAAGCTAATATTTAATATAAATCTTTATTAATTTTAGTATTTAGTTAAAATATTTTTAGTTGTCTTAAGCACTTTTTTAAGAATATTTCTAATATTTCTATATCTTACCGCCCAAATTTTCTTTAAATAATTACAATATCCGTCTATTTAAGTTGTTATTTTATTATTTGAAACTAATATTAAAAGTAAGATCTTCCCATTTTCTCTGCTTTACGACATTAAAATCAAAAGACGTCCTGGTTATTTTTATAAAAAAGTTGTTATTTTTAAAGATACTTAAGCTGTTTAAGACTTCTTCTATTTTAATACAGATAAAGTATTAAAGTTTGCTATAATTTATATAAAAAAAGTCTATAACTTATACTATAAGCCTTTTAAATTAATCCTGGCGACTATATATATTTATATTTTTATAAAAACTATAATATTTGTACTACCTACAATACTAGTATTAAATTTAAATTATTATAGTAATATACTAGTCTATTCTATATTATTACTCCTATTAGTTAATATATATATAGATTTGATCTTTCTAATTTTTAGTATATATACTCTGTTATTTTAATCACTTACTTTAAGCCTGTACTTTTTAGCATAGATCTATTTAATTATTCTAACTTTTATTTTTCAAATATTATAAATAAATATTTCTTTAAATAGTTAGACTGTTGGGAAGTTGCTGCTGTTTTTAATAAGTATATTATTTTATATAGTTAATACTATATCCTAGTTATTTAATATCTGGTATATTAATAAAATGTAGTTCCTAATTTAATAAATAAGTATATAAAAAAATATTATTACTAATAAGTTAGTTTGTAATTATAAGAACTGTATTAATATATCTGATTATAAATATATTACACTACTAAATATTTATATTTAATTAAATATTTTGTTTTTTATTTTTCATTACTTATTTTTTTTTATTTTTTTTACTTATTTTTTTTATTTTTTTTACTTTTATTTATTATATTATATATTTTAGTATTATGTTTTTCAACCATCTGTTTTTTTATCTTCATTAAATTTATAGATATAATTGTTGATATAGATATTATTTTTAAAGCTATAACATTTATAGTATTTTTTATAATATTTATTATTTTTAATAATTCTGCTGTATTTCGGCTGCTGTTTTTTTACCGCCTCCAGATATTCTTTGCTTTTTTAACTTTTCTTTCTCTTTATTCTGACAAATTGATCAAGCTTTCATACATACCATATCCACATATTCAGGAACTGCCATATAATATAAACTTTTTTTAATTTATCTAATTAGGTATTTAAAATATCTTATAAAAAAAATAACAGAGCTAATCTATAAAAGTAGAATTTATTTTTATATAAATAAACTTTTTTTAGACTTTTAATTTTTTTTAAATAATTCTTTTTTTGCTTCTGCGGTAAGTTTTTTTATTATAATCTAATATTATTTTTTTAAATATTTAGTTAGCTGACTTTATTTTTATTATTACTATAGAATTAAAATAATAATATTGTTATGGGACCAAGGCCCTGTTATAGAGCTCGGCTTCAGGCACCAGTTGGCACCTGAGGCCTCGCATACTAAGTACTAAACTAGCACTAGCTTAGCGCACACATAAAAGAATTTCGTACGAACAGATGAAATAGCTCCTCAGCTATTTCTTCTTGTTTAAAGGCACGTTTCGATTAGCACAATCCATCCGTCCCGTAACAAATATCTAGTATATTTTATAAAATTTAGTTTTTTCTAATAAAAAATTATTAGAAACTTTTTAATACAGTAGATATATTAATTAGGTAAGATAAAAGCAGATAAAAGTAATCTTCTAACAATTATAAAACTAATTTTTAAAAATTCCTTATCCTTTTAAGAATTTTAAATGCTTATATATATTTTAGAAAAGAGGGTCAGCTTTATACTAATATAAAAACCTGTATTAAAAGTCTAACAAATTAGTAATAATATTAATATTAAAACAGAAGCTGGCAGCTGCATACTATGGATATTATATAATAATAATATAATTATAAATACTATATTATTTTTTATTTATAAATAAATTAATATATATACTACTTTTTTTAATTTTTATAGTACTGGAGTCAAAGCTTTTTGAATCTATTTATAAATACTTTTTTATAATACTAATTCTAAAAGTATTTTAAATTTCTACAATTTATTTTAATAAATATAGATACTTATAAAGTTTTAAAATAGAAATATAAACTTCTTTTTATATAGAAATTCTTTTTATAGTTAATATATTGTTTTTTATAATTAGATTCAGAAAATTATCTTTAGTTTAGCCTTATATTTTATATTTTAATATTATTTACTAGATTATTTTCCAGGGTACAAATAATAAGTTTATAAAAACTAAAAAAATAAAATAGTATAGTAAATAAATATTTTTTATAGTAGCTAAAATAATAGTATTATATTTTAAAATATTATTACTAATTTATCTAACTCTATAGAACTACTACTGCCTTGGATAGTTCTGCAACCACCTTGTTTAGTTGTTATATGGCTGATGCCTTAGGCCTTCTTTTATATACATTCCTCTGCGATTAATATCGCGAAGGTTGAAAGGGCTTGCAGGGCCCTTACAAATTTAATCTATAAGGAAGCTACTGCTTTTATAAGAGGCTGCAGCCGGTTTGCTTCACCTATTATATAACAGATATTTTAGCTCTACTGTATAGATTTCCCTTTGCAAAGAATGGAAGGGCTGTTTGGGCCCTTACATCTTAATATCTTTTCACTGCCTCCGGGTATTCTGCCGCAGCTATATTACTGTCGCCGAAGCCCTATGCTTTATGTAGGCTGAGGCAACTCACTTTCAGAAGGCCCCTCCGCTCATTCTTATAAATACAACATATTCTATAGATAATTTACCACAAATTCAAGGAATATCTAAAGTATTAGGCTTTTTATTGAGCCATGTTCTCCTATACCCTACAGGGGCTACAGAAAGTCTTGGTATTTCCTACCCCCTCGCACTAATTTTTAACCCCCGGCTGGTGGCACCCTGTCAAAACTGTCCCCAGCGAATCATACTGGTTTGTATGTAATACTACTGACTAAGAAGTCACAAGGGCCTTTAGTGGCCAAACCTCAAAGCACTCCACACAGCATATTGAAACTGAAGTATCTACAATAGTGGATTTCTTTGACTTGCAACATTTCAGATCACAAGTCACATTACAATATCGCAACAGACATCGGAGATTCTCACTCAACCATGTCTTTTTCCAATCTTGTCTCAGATCTCGCCTTTCGAGATGTGCATGACGACCGAAGTTCCCAAATATCCCATGCCCGATCCCAGGCCACTGCTCGCTCCTATACCAGTACAGCCGCCACCAGTGTCAGCATATCTGGTGATATCTCCAGCCAGCTTCACTCAGGTTATAGCCATCCTTTAAGCAGATCATGGCAAGCCGAAAAGCAACTTACCAAGGTCGGTAGTCATGTGGCAGCTTATTGTTATATTCTAACTAGCCACAGGAAATGCTTATGTATCCACTCTTCATTACGGACAATCCGGATGAGGAGACGCCAATTCCGTCACTCCCTAATCAATGCCGTCGAGGATTGAACCGTCTAGTGCCGTTCTTGAGGCCTCTCGTCCACAAAGGATTGCGATCTGTAATCCTTTTTGGGGTTCCATTGCACCCGTCCGCGAAGGATGCTCTAGGGACTGCCGCGGACGATCCGAACGGGCCAGTAGTTCAGGCTATCCGCGTCCTTAGATCGCGTTTCCCCCAGCTTTATATCGTTACTGATGTATGCCTTTGCGAATATACATCTCATGGTCACTGTGGGATTCTTCGTGAAGATGGCACGTTAGATAATGCGCAGTCCGTTGATCGAATCTCCGATGTCGCTCTGGCCTACGCTGCAGCTGGCGCTCACTGCGTTGCTCCATCGGACATGAATGATGGACGAGTACGCGCCATAAAACTCAAGCTGATTGAGGCTGGTATGGCTCATCGGGTCCTCCTCATGTCCTACAGCGCGAAGTTTAGTGGATGCTTGTATGGTCCTTTCCGCGATGCAGCAGGCTCATGCCCCTCTTTCGGTGATCGAAGGTGTTATCAGCTGCCTCCTGGAGGTAGGGGACTTGCTCGGCGAGCGATACAGAGGGATATTAGCGAGGGCGCTGACATCATCATGGTAAAGCCCGCAAGCAGTTACTTGGACATTATTAGAGACGCGAAAGAGCTTGCACAGGACATGCCCATCGCAGCATATCAAGTTAGTGGCGAATATGCCATGATACATGCAGGGGCAAAAGCTGGTGTTTTCGATCTGAAATCTATGGCTTTTGAGAGTACAGAAGGCATTTTGAGAGCCGGTGCAGGAATTGTTGTGAGCTACTTTGTCCCTGAGTTTCTGGATTGGCTATGATAATCCTTTGGGGCCATGTGTGATCGCTGTATAGCATAGACAGGAGATCTGCGATACCTTCCACCTCATTTACTACTCCCTATTTGAGGTGCTTGCTGCCCTGCAGGTTGATTTCCGGAAGCTTAGCTTTGATTCAAGCCTATGCCAATTGGTTCTCTTGATGAAGGAAGCGTTGCACGGGTGTTGATGTTTGCTCAATGTGCACCGAACCGAACCCCAACAGATCATATTAACCAGATAAGCAGGACATGTTGTTTTTTTAGGAGCAGGAACTAATGCACTTAGCTTAAATATAGAGCGGTCTTCAACGTGGGCAAAGCGCGGGTACTCAGTATACTGTGTAGGCTTCATTCCTCTTGACTAGCATGATAGATATTTCAATGAAACTCAGAGCTTACATATTTCAGCAACCTAATTTGATAGTAAAGAACATGTCTCTCCGTCATTTTCATACATCACATATACCCAGGCTTCAGACCCTGAAAGCCATAGGCTACTATGTCAGACTTTACCACCTCGCCTGGAGCGACGTATGCACCGCGGCGAAGACGCACACCAGGATAGATCGTACAGCCAGCGCCAACATAACAATCTTCCTCAATAGCAACGGAGCGCCCTTGATAGCGACTCTGCGAGCCTTTGCGTTCTTGCATATTTGCATGAGCGGTCGAACTGATTATCGTGACTCGAGGACCGATCCACGTGTGCGCTCCAATGGTAATGGGGCAGTCATCCACAAAAAGGCAGTCCTCGGAAATCATAACGTCTTCACCTAAGTGCACATTGTAACCATAATGGCAGTGGAAAGGTGCCTCAACAATGGCACCTTGGCCGATCGTCCCAGAAGAACGGGACGTGGGAGCGCCAGAAGGGGAATTGGATGCCGAGACAGGAGGGACAAAAACTTCTCTGAGCAGGCGCATTTGTTCCTTGGTGCTGAGCCCCGATACTGGGTTGCACGCATTGTTGAACCTCCATAAGGCAGCCTTACAACGGTCCCTTTCTTCTACAAGTTGAACATCGTAGGGCCTGTAAAGCTCGCCGCGCATCATTTTCTCTTTCTCCGTTTCATCCCCGGATACGGTCCGTGCAGACAGCTGATGTTCAATACTCAAAGCCATGCGTGCCTGAGCCTGCGGACTGCTGGTATCTAGATTGTTGCTGTGTGCTGGTCGTTGATCGACCCCACTTTGGAACAGGGAAGCATTTGATTTTGGATGGTTGCCGTGAGAGAGTTCCCTGATTGGCGGTACGATGGCATAATCTGACTTCGAGTGGCCCTCCCGAGATAGCTCATGAATTGAAGGAACATCGCGGTAATCTGACTTCGTTAGATGATCCGGTATATACGCCGGATGGTTGCTTCCTCCCCATGTCCGCTTAGTCCAACCACGACCAGAATTAACGCCTGTTGGACTGGTGCTGAACTGGGAAGCAGAGCGGTCGGCATCCTCAACAACAATCGGCCTCATTTTGCTGGTTTCTATATGTTCCGTCAAGGCTTGGGGCCTTTCATGTAGTTGGTTGATATCATGCATATATTGACTACTTATTTCGTTGTAACCCTCTTTCGACTGCAGAGGTACAGGTGGCTTTGAGGGTGACGGCTTCTGCCATGTGCTCCGAGACGAGTAGCCTTCGCACAAGAATCCTCCCCTGATGCAATTGTTGCCTATGTGGTGTTAGAGGTAAGACCATTGTAGCCAAAATAACCTATCCTACGCTAAAGTGTAATAGTGTATGGGACTTACAAGCAGGGTGCTGCTCGTCGCATTTCTTCTTTCTCCGGCGACAAGTCATGCAGCCGGTTTTGGTTCGATTACTAAAAACACGTTTTCGTTTTGGTGCAACCTGAACAGCAGGGTGTACCCGCTCCTGTGAAATCATGGGCATCGAGGCGGACTGTTCACTCTGCACAGAACTTTCCGGTGGACGATTGCTAGTGCTCCAACCTTTTGGCGACTCATGACCATTTGCCTCTCGCTGAAGCGCTTCTGCCAGTTGGGCGTCCGTAGCATCGAGGTGCTGGGCACGCTGCGCTTGCTTGATCAACTGAGAATCCATCTCATTCCACGCTGTATTTGTTGATGTTGTGCGAATGTCGCCGTTTTCGTCCAGTCGAGAATGAGTAGGCGTCTGTTTGACGTCGGATTCTCCTTGAGACGTTACAACGCCGTTCGGCGGAGACGGCTGACTGCTTGATGCTATGCTGTCGTCTGGGCGTGAATCTGGGCTTCTAGGTACCTTATGAGATATACTGTGTTCTTCTTGCTCTTCTCTGGATTCCGATCTCTTGCGCTTACTTCTGCCGAGATGTTCTGCGGAAGAAAGTGAACGGCATGATCGTTGGTCATCCTGGTCGCATTCGGTATTATCCCGCTCTGCATACCCAGGATTCCTCGTAGACTCATCGTGTCGCGACGGAGCATGGGCACCATTTTTCGGGGTTCGGTCAGAGACGAAATTTTCTAGAGTCGGATTCTCACGCGCAGAGATCCTGCTTGTACCTGTGACGGGAGTGGCTGTGCCACTGCCCAAAGAGTCTTTGCCATTGACTGCTGTGAATCGAGAAGGGCTGTTCTCTGCCTTGGATTCCTTCTCGGTCTCGTGGTCATGCATCACCGACGCGGATGCCACGGTAGTCATGATTCAATTGTTGCCTGAATCAGAGCCGACCAGGCAGTGGAAATATATAAAGTATGAGACGAATAAAGATATGTTGATTCAGGAATCGCCGTCGCCATTCAAACACGATCGTAGCACGAAATGCTAGTCATTGACTTGTCGTAGAACCTACCAGTCACTTACTGAGGGTCATGATCCCTCAGACAGAGCGCAAAAATACCCTCCCAGTCGTGCTAGCGATTAATGCCCCCGGGGTGATTGGATTCTTGGTGTGGTTCAAACCGAACCGCGTGACACTGAAGTCCACTTGGCTAGCGAGACATTCATATATCGCGATCGATACTCGGCTATCGGCAAAGCAAGAGTAGCAAACGTTCCGCGGATGTATGATTGTATGATTGTCAGGGTATTTGCGCTACCGCCTCAGGAGAAGCAGTGCTAATTCCGCATATATATGAAGTACAAAAAACCAAGAGATGATCGAAATTAGATGTCAGATCTGAGTGCAACCGGAGTAGCGTAGGGATGATCAAGAACTGCAGGTGCCAGTCTTTTCGAGGCGCTGTAAGTCGTCGACAATATTTCAGGCTTTGTGGTAGTCTAGGTTGGGATTGAAGAGGCCAGTTGAGGACTATGATTGAACTGCTCTATGTCTCGGTTGTAGAGAGCTGCGCATTGAGTGATATTAAGTAGTATCGATTTGGGGTGTAGTCTGGAGTATGGGAGACGGCAAGAGGAGAGAGGGTGAGGAGGGGAGGGGAGGAGGAACGTCAAATCAGGTGGGAGAGGGGAAGGTCTCTAGTAAGTAGGGCAGTCGATGGATGAAGGTGGAAGTAAGCGACTGTAATAATAAATCAGCGAGTAAGATGTCGAGAGAGTCGCATTAGTATAATTTTCTTTGCCGCCGGATGATGGGGACAGAAAAGTAAGTTAATCCATGCAGGAACCAATAACACAGTTATTGTCGACAGTTGTCGAGTAAGCCGCCGTAGTTGGGGCTAAGAAACAGGAGGTAATGAATGTATGGGAAAGTCTGGGACGGACGGCGGGAGGGGATTAACCAAGGGGGAGGGGAAGAGGATGCATTGGCAGGAGGTAACTCAGGTGTGGTGAGGGGGGGTCACAAAGGGGGTTGAGTAAAAGGTCAAAGGGCTAACACACTCATCAATGACTTCAAGTTTACTGACAATGTTTGATGTAGTTGTAGCAAAGAAGTCTTTAGTTATCTTTACAGTAGTACTCCGTACTGAGTACTGTACGTATGAGAACTATCTTCCGAAGCAAAAGAATGCGGCTGCCAGCTGGCTCAGCCGATGGGAAGCTCGGACAGGGTTGGCGCGCGACCGGCCATGGGCGGCGCGAAGGAGCTGCGGTGGCAACCACTAGCTAACTTACTCAGTACTCCGTACTCCGTACTTAGTATCGACTCGGCAGTGGACAAGTCGACTGTAGTTAGTCCTTTACCAGGAAGCACCTAGGTAGGTCACAAGTCCACGGCAATAACTCAGCTTTCCTGTTCAGGCACGGTCAAAATCCATTATTGGTCTTTTACAAGTTCCCAGTGCAGTAGAGAGTAAGGGTACCAGCATCTTATCATCTCAGAATCATGGCTGCGACTTCCTTTGATGCAATAGCATAGGTTTAGCAACTGGGCGTTCAGGTGACGTGCCACTTTTGGAGGGAACCTATAGTCTAGTTCCTAACTGGCTTTGGATCCTATCGCCTCCCGCGCGAGGGAAGCGCGGTAAGAGGTTGCGTACCCGCTCCGTACCTAGAGGCCGACCGCCTGTGCGCTCCAGTAGGCTAGTTTAGCGTCGAGGTGGTGACGAGACTGGGGTTTTGGCCGATATGGTACTTAGTAGGTAGTACCGTAGTCGTAGTCGCTTACCTTGTAACTTGTAAGCCTATCCATTGCTGGCGTTCTGGGTCCTTCTGTCCCCCCGGGGCCAACCATTGGTGCAGCAGACTATGAAGGCGGTTTGTGCGTGGGTGCTCCTGATCTACTTACAAACCAATTCACACCAATAATACACACTTGGAGCACTGTCACACCTTCGCTTGCCGACAAGATGATCTCTGTATTATAAGGAAGTTATATGCTTGGATTAGTTAACTCAAACCATTATACTCAACCTGGTACCCGTTCTGAAACCAACCCACTATGCTTTTAAGCCTCACTACGATATGTCACTTTACCTGAAAAGCACATATGGTTAAGCTCGTTCAAATGTTATTATCTAGTATATCCTTCAGATATGCCAGAAGACAATCATTGATTTTAGATAGTAGAGTTCAAATGTCGTGTGAGAAACTGCGGGTTATTGAGATTGGTATAGTATTTCTGGTAAGTGTAGAGTTACTCTATCTTACACAGGAGATATTTACGCAGGAAATGATGGCGCGTTACTAGGCGTTGTAGTTTTAAGGGAAGCCGCCAAGCCCAGCGTGCCGCAGGGACATGGCAGCATGAAGATTGCCGCGGCGGCAGTATTCCTGAAGGCGGTGCAGAAGTGTATGGTTAGCTACTTAGCTAATCCAAGATGTGAGCCGCCAACACTCTAAGAAACGCGCTGTTTCTCACCGCCAGACATCTGCTGATTTTAGTCTACCCTCAGACATCATATCCTTATCCCAAAGCCAGAACCCTCAGTTTAAGCTACTACTGCCTCGCGGTTGAGTTACCCCACTTTTTCAGCCCCCCTTGTGAATGGTGCATCTTCGAACTGTAGATTGCTCCAAGCTCTCCTTACCTCCGTCGAACCCCTCCAAGGAAGCCTCTTACCCCGCCAAAGCATTTTGCCCATCTGCTCTATCTTCGGCACTTTCCTAATCCACAGTCTTCACGGGATATTCGAACTCACCCAGTTTCGTTCCTCCTCGAAGGCTGAGGTTAATCAAAAACAGCAACGTCAAACTTTCGAGCGGGATGTCTGTTTCCATACAGGAGTTGGACAACACTGTCCGGGCCTTCTATGAGGGCAAGGGCGACTTGGTGAGTTATCATCCGCCACTTTTCGAACTCGTGAGACCTTAGATTCACTAATCTGCGCCAATTTTACTGCACACAGCAAAAACAAGCCGAGCAGACCCTGACTGATGTAAGTGAACAACTTTCATGGGCATATCCCAAGAGCGGTTTTCTGATTTGTGCTTGATGCTCAGTTTAAACAAAATGAAGACGCCTGGATGCTTGCAGCGAATATCCTCCAAGAATCCTCATATCCACAAACTAAATGTACGATACTGAAAAGTCCATCGAAACTTGCGGGTTACTGACTCTGCTTAGATCTTGCTCTTCAGGTCCTCGATGATGTGATCATGACACGATGGAAGGTTCTGCCGAGAGAGCAGTGCCTAGGTAAAGACCGTGTCATAAAGATGCATAGGGAACTATCTGACTTTTACCAGGCATCCGAAATTTTATCGTCCAGTTCATCCTTGATAACTCCGAAACAGAGGAAAAGCTGAGAAGCCAACGCGTTTTCTTGAACAAGCTTAATCTGGTGCTAGTTTCGATCTTGAAGCAAGAATGGCCGCACAATTGGCCGACATTCATAAACGATATCATTTCATCGTGCCACTCGAGCCTATCGGTTTGCGAAAACAACATGACCATTCTCCGCTTGCTGTCCGAGGAGGTTTTCGATTTTTCTCAGGACCAAATGACTTCCGTGAAAGCGAGGAACCTGAAGACCTCTATGACCCACGAATTCTCCTCCATTTTTCAGCTGTGTTCCCAGGTGTTGGATAACGCGAACCAGACGACTTTGATTAAAGCTACACTGGAGACCCTCCTTCGGTTCTTGAATTGGATTCCGCTCGGATACATTTTCGAAACTTCCATAATCAACACCCTCTTGACCCGCTTTCTGGGTAATGCAGAGTACCGCAATGTAACTCTTAAATGCCTTACAGAGATCGGTGGGCTCCAGATCGGCAACCCTTATAATTACGATGATCAGTTGGTCCGTATGTTCACGGAGACTTTAACGATTGTCTCTACGATCATACCTCTGTCGATGGATTTGAAGTCAACATATTCTAAGAGCAATTCGCGAGATCAGGAGTTCGTTCTCAATCTGGCTCTTTTTCTCTGCAGCTTCTTTAGTGCTCATCTCAGTGTAAGTTCTCACTACACCTGTTGTTTTCCCCACCAGGCGCTGATCTGATATCTCTGCCATGTTAAGCTTGTTGAGACGCTTCCCAATCGTGACTACCTCACTCACGCCCATTTCTACCTGATCCGTATCAGTCAAATCGATGACAGAGAGGTGTTCAAAATCTGCTTGGAGTATTGGACAAAATTGGTGCAAGAGCTTTATGAAGAGATGCAACAGCTTCCGATCACCGACATTAACCCACTGGTGAGCATGGGTGTAAGCGGGCTGTCAAACGGAGGCGCGCCGCATCCCAGCACTCTGGCCAATTACACCCTTCGCAAACACAAATACGAGGAGGTCCTTTCCAGCCTACGCACCGTCATGATTGAGAAAATCGTTCGGCCCGAAGAAGTTTTAATTGTCGAGAACGACGAAGGCGAGATCGTTCGCGAATTTGTCAAGGAGAGCGATACTATCCAGCTCTACAAGACAATTCGCGAATGCCTGGTTTATCTCACTCATCTGGACGTTGTCGACACAGAAAATATCATGATTGAGAAGCTGGCTAAGCAGGTTGATGGGTCCGAGTGGTCTTGGAACAATTGTAATACTCTCTGCTGGGCAATCGGTTCAATCTCCGGAGCGATGAACGAAGAGACTGAAAAGAGATTTTTGGTCAATGTCATCAAGGATCTACTTGGCCTGACCGAGATGAAGCGCGGAAAGGACAACAAAGCCGTCGTCGCTAGTAACATCATGTATATTGTGGGACAGTACCCCAGATTCCTGAAGGCGCACTGGAAGTTTTTGAAGACGGTGGTTAACAAGTTGTTCGAATTCATGCATGAAACACACGAAGGCAAGTTTGTCTACTCACAGCATGAGGCGTTTCTCCTAACAGCGTGCAGGTGTCCAGGATATGGCTTGCGACACTTTCATCAAGATTGCTAACAAATGTCGACGACACTTCGTTGCGCTCCAGCCAGGCGAGAACGAACCTTTTATCGAGGAGATAGTCCGCAATATGAGGAAAATCACCTGCGACCTCTCACCACAGCAGGTCCATACTTTCTACGAGGCTTGCGGTTATATGATCTCCGCTCAGGGCCAGAAAAGCTTACAAGACCGATTGATTGAGAATCTCATGTCATTGCCCAACATTGCTTGGGATTCTATCATTGGACAGGCCACTCAAAATCCCAAAATCCTGGAGGATGGTGATACAATCAAGATCGTTGGCAATATCATGAAAACAAATGTGGCTGCGTGCTCTTCGATCGGAACATACTTCTATTCCCAGCTCGGACGAATTTATCATGATATGTTGAACATGTACCGGGCGTCCAGTCAACTCATCAACAGTGCTGTTGCGCAAGATGGTAATAACATACCCTATTCATCTGTCCTTTCAGCTTTCCCGTCTTTATTGCCCAGTATCATCTTTGCCTTGTTTATCTTTGTGGAGCATACCTCTGACGTACTTTTATAGGTGAAATTGCAACCAAGACACCCAAAGTCAGAGGACTCAGAACAATCAAGAAAGAGATCTTGAAGCTCATAGACACTTACGTGCAAAAAGCCGACGACTTAGAGATGGTGAACGCTAGCATGGTACCGCCTTTGCTTGAGGCTGTTCTTGTGGATTACAATCATAATGTTCCAGATGCCCGTGAGGCAGAAGTTCTTAGCGTCATGACTACAATTATTCACAAGCTACACGTGAGTCCTAAATATCCACTACCACAGATGCTTATGTATACTAGGAGCTAACGATACCGACAGAACCTCATGGAGGATAAGGTTCCTATGATAATGGAGAGTGTCTTCGAATGCACTCTGGAAATGATCAACAAGGATTACCATGAATACCCAGACCATCGTGTGCAGTTCTTCAAACTGCTACAAGCAATCAATCTATATTGCTTTCCGGCCCTACTCAAGCTACAGCCTCCGCAGTTCAAGATTGTCATCGATTCCTGCATGTGGGCAAGTAAGCATGTCAACCGCGAAGTCGAAAACACCGGCCTTACAATGTGCCTCGAACTCATAAACAACATGGCGGAAACGGATGTTCAGACGTCGAATGCATTCTTCCAACGGTTCTTCATCCAGATCCTTGGGGATGTGTTCTTTGTTCTCAGTGATAGTAATCACAAGGCTGGTACGCATGCTTTATTCCGCCCATCTCGAGACCATACTCATCCTCTCTACCTCAGGTTTCAAGTCTCAGGCTATGCTCTTGTCGCGCATGTTCTACTTCATAGAGTCCGGCAAAGTGCAGCAGCCTATCTACTCTCCTGGCCAAGTGCCCATGGGGACAACCAACAAAGATTTCTTGCAGAGGTATTTGGCGGAAACCCTACACAGTGCATTTAAGAACCTTCAAGAGTATGTACTTCTCGGTTACCTTTGTCCCAGAATCTTCGTACTGACTACGGAATCAGAATCCCGGCCAAACAATTCGTCGCTGGATTATTTACTTACAACGATGATTTCAACAAGTTCAAGACACATCTCCGAGACTTCTTGATTTCTCTGAAAGAAAATCCGGGTGACAATGCCGAACTATATGCAGATGAAAGGGAACAGGAAGCGCGAGACGCCAAGGCCGCCGAACGGGACCGTGCATTGAAAGTTGGAGGGTTGTTGAAGCCGTCTGAAATGGACCAGGACGAAGAGATCTGACTGGAAAAAGAACTGCGCGCCGAGGTCTCTGTGTCCTCGAAGGCTGGGAGAGACTCAGAATCACGCGGTGACATGTTTGATGGCTGGTCGTATTATGGTTTCTGATTTCGACCAAAAGCCCAAGGCTCATACCCAACCAAGACTAATTCGCTTGTGGGCAAAGTCATCTTCCCACGAACTCCTACTTCCTCTTCTTCATGCTCTACGGCGAATGACTTCTAATCCATCTCATCTCGAGGCTCCCTTGGTGTGGTTGACATTAGCAATTTATCAGTTCTTGTACACATTTGTTCCGTTCAAGCGGGAGCCCAGACGAATATTATTTCTTGTTAGTGGCTCAAAAGAGGGAGATTCTTTCCGTGGGTGTATTTCTATTCCCATAGAGGTGCCTTGTCTTCATGGATATTATAGTACTATGATGTGTCTGCAGAGAGAGAATGCAACAAGAGTCGCAAGTTTGTCATCTCTCCCAGCAATCTGGTCTGAGATTTGTATTGCAAGGAGGATGCATCCGAGTTAAACTTGGTAAAATAGTGTTGACCACAACCAATTCGGCATGGCACGTGAGGCATGACTAAATATTGAATCAAGGTAGCAGGCAGGCAGGCAAGTTGGCAGCCCGCTGACAATTGCATGTAAAATTACCTAATTTTATTACATCTTAATATATGGTTAAGTTGATTTAAAGAGACTGGAAGTTTAATACTGTATATTACAATATAATATAAGATTAGTACTCCGTAGGATAACTATGGAAAGGTATTAACTAGTTTTATGAACTATAAGGTAGTGCTTACTCATCGGTGGGGATTAACTGTACGCACTCCGTACGGAGTAGTCAATTTGCACCCAGGGCGGGGAGAGCGGCCTCTTCCCGAGGACGGAAGGATTGTGTTAGATTGATAAATGACTATAGCCCGTTGCGCTTAACTAGTCTTCCATATCTCAACTTTGATGACATACTTACCCATCACCTATACCTACCACCGAGAGTTCCCAACTTGCCAGGATGCCTCAAATTCATCAAACAGGTCCAACTTCAACCAGTGGCTCCAGAACCGAGTCATTAGCGGAGTCCAATGAGGAGGGCCCTTCAACGACCCGTCTATCAGCAACTCTGAGACTACGTGCAGAAAGTGCAGAAGACCGATCCATGCCCGATGAGCATAGTGATATTCGAAGTCCAGCTCGGCATATACAGTGGAGAGATGACGTTATCGACAACGAGGGAATGGGGAAAAAAAGCTCCAAAGGTGAGAAAGCACGCGTCCACTCTGGGAGCCAAGCCAATACCTTCCACGACACATCGCTCATCTGTCTCAAGTCTGCTGCATATACCATAAAGCTCGGCCTGTCGGTGAAAGTAGCTCAGAATCAGAATCGTCTGATTCCAGTGAGTCCGATTCCGATTCCGATTACAGCGCTGATGATCAGACTCACTGTAACGGCGCGCGGCGGTCTCGTCATCACATGAGCTGTGACAACAAAAGCCCTAGACATACATCGGAACGGCCATCGAATACCGGAAAGACAAGACGAAGAAAACCTAGCCCCAATGCCTACGAGAAGATGCCTAAGACAACAAGGGGTCGTTGAGCATTTTTTCTCGAACCACTAGGTGTCTTGCTTGCAGCAAAGAATAGATTATTGGGGAGAACGCAGAGCTCGCCCTTATCAAACCTACACATTTGTGTTTGAATTGTTGCATCAAGCTTTACTCAAGCATAGTAACTCAACCAATCCAGGTACATCTGTGAAGATTGAATTCACTTCCATGAACCAATTAGATCCCTACGAGCCAGCGTGGCCTAGCTTCGAAGGTGGGGCGTTGCTATACATCCTTTGTGACGTTGTCCATCTCAAAGAGTATGCTACACTCTCTTACTTTTGGTTCGAAGCCTTCCGAATTAGGCTCCTGATGGCGTGCAATGTCTCCTGTTCCATAGCTTTTCAGGCAGTTATGAACCCAGGCCAATTATTGATATTATGTACATAGCATTGCTTGATTGGCAGGCCCACGAAACATCTACAGCATCATACTCCTTCTTCTAGCAGCGGCACGCAGGGATCGGCTAACTTGCTTTGTCTCTGTTGAGACGGATGTAGTCGAAGAAACCTGAACTATTTCTGCTGAAGCGCGCCTGTCGTGATCCGGTTGCTCAAGTCTCTCGTTGAATTTGATAGGCGATACTTTGGAAAGACTCGGTGTGATATCTCGGGAATCCTGGACTGCCTCGTCTGGCTTGAGTGTGTTTTGTTCGAAGGCTTTTAGGCTCGATGAGCACCGTTTCGATTGTCTAGCAGTAGCTGGTTGTGGCTTGTGTGCACGCGATATTGTCTTTGCCATACTGCCACAGGTGGCCTCTGTTAATCGCGTATTGAGGCATTCATCTGAATTATCCTTGATCGAGAGTGCAGGAGTACCTTGGCCTTCCGGCTCATGATCATGATTCCCGAGATCAGTCATCGGATGATCAGAACGCTCACTACCACCCTCGGCTGTCTCGCGAGTCGTTGCAGGGTCGTACCTGCTCGCGAAAGAGGCTTTGCGCCTCCTTTGTGACACCATCTTCATACTCTTCGAGGGAGATTCCACAGTTGGATTTAAGGCAGGGGACGGTGACTCAGTCCTTGTAATACCCGAAACTTGCAACTTGGCTGTGTCCGACTTGCGCCGCCGATACGCATCCCCATCCTCTCCCGTGCTCATAGGGGCATCAATTGTGCTAGAGGTTCTCCGTGTTCGATCCCCCACTGCCGCGACTAACTCGTTCGTAGGCCGGCGCATCTTATCGCGTAGATTAGGTTCTGCATAACTCACAATGGCTCTCTGGCGCCTTGTTGGTCGGGATGACCCAGTGGCAGCTACTGCATCCCCTGTATCCGCTCCCGACTTCGGCTGCTCAAGTCGATCATTTTTGGTCAGGGACCCTAGAATCACTGACTCGCGTGCCATACTGGCATTCCCGGCTTCTGCTTTGGGGCTATGGTGCGTCGGCGCTCGGCCGAGCGTATCATCCTCACTCTGCGTGTATGATGTAGTCTCTACAAGGCCCAGGACATTCCCCTTATCATCGACTGCTGCTATGACATTATCTTCACGCGGGAATTGTGCATCATCGAGCATGGGATTGAAAGCTTTTCTCGGTGATGGAATGCTGACATTGGTGTTTTCTATACCTCGAATTAGATGTCGACCCGCACGATCAGAATTAAACATTGGCCTTACTTTGCTTCAGTATCCTCCGTCTTGCCTGCTTGACATTTTTCTTGCTTTCTCTAAGTGGGTGGGTGTCTTCCTTAAACGGTGATCTGCCGGATGTTGACTCAATTGGGTCGACTGTCCCGGTGGGTGAACGAGTTTGCCGATAGTCAAAATCGTCGCTCCCATTCAGCTGGCTCTCGAGTCGATCATCAATATCTGCCGAGAACTTTCGTTTTGCACCGAGGATCGGTCTAGATATCGAGTTCGTTCGCATAGGAGCTGCCTCATAAGCCGCAGATTCATTCTCTGGAATCGTCGCATCAAGTTGGTGTTCCTCTTTTTCATGACAAGTTGGAAGTGGAAGGAGCACATCGGCATGGTTTGGATTCGTCCAACTCTCGAGCGACCCGTTGACTGTAGGCTCCTCGTTTGGAGGAATGGGAAAATTTGTATCCATGGTGGCCTGCGCCCGAGATGCCGGAGACTGTTGATCAATAGCACCACTGTCGAGCAATCCTTGTATATCGCGCGGCCTATGAGCAGTAAGCATTCATACCCTGATAAAGATAATTGCATTGTATGCTTACTCCAGCGTCTTCCTTGGGAAATACTTGTCTTCGAGTATCACGGGCAGCTTTCCTTCCTCCTCACAGGCAAAATTCTGCTCCATTTCGGCGGTCTTGCGCTCCCAGTCAAGAGCTGACTGTGATGGCTGCGTCGGGCTCCTGTTCTGCGCGGTATCTTGCTCTTTTCTGTAGTCGCGCGGCAGCTCACCCAGCTCAGTTACCAGATTGGTCAATTCCGTCAATTTAGCATCCAGTCTTGACTTGATGTCATAGACCCCATCTTGAAGTATCTTGACAGCCTGATATCTTTCTAGCTCCCTATTAAGTGTTATCGCTTGCTCTCGTAGAGATACATTTTCGGCGAGTAAGTGAGAAACCTCCGACTCAAGGCTGCGGATGCGGAGGGACTGTATGGAATTGACCCGGGCGATTTCGCGATTCTGCCGCACAAAGCGTCGCTTCACTAGTTGTCTGTCAGAAGGTCTGTATCGGAGGGAAGAGCAATGTTGAACTCTGACTGTGTGGAACTTACAGCCTTCGATGGACTCCGTCGTTGTTGTTGATTCATTCAATCGAGCCATGCTTGTGTCGCAAACGCAGACAGCGGCAGTTAAATCTCCTTCTTAAGCTATCGCGAGGTTTATTAGCCCTTCACGCGGGTGGAAAAGAGAGATTCCGCGATGAGGCCCTTGTCGCCTACAGTAGAATGAGTTGGGCAAGATACCTCGGAGGATGGTAACAGGTAAACACGATGCGGTTTAGCTTGTTGACAATTGTCCTATTTTGTACTAGTGGTGGCGGCTCCGTCCCGCCCCTCAGCTGGCACTTGGCCATGTCCAGTCGACGGCACTGTTCTGGATCAATGCGTACTAGGTACTCAATTGCCTGACACCACCCCTCTGTGACAACAACTCCATATTGTCTGACACCATACACATGAACTAAGCTTATATTCTCACTTTACCGACTGCAAGCATTTCGCCCTGTAGGGTAACCAGCGACAGCTCTCTGACTCCTAGATATTTGTTGCCCCAACTGGCAGCGATGCTACCTTCCGCAGCAGCCTCCTTTCGTCCGCCGAATCACTCATCGGCCATCGCCCAACAACAGTCATCGGCCTTGGCAGCGCGTATAGCTTCCAAGAAGGCCGAGCTAGAGAATTTAAGGCAGTTGCGAGACATGAGCGGTGCACTGGCAGAGCAGATGCAAGCCTTGGAAATCAAGATTGGAACTCTCAGAGATGGAACTGAAGGTATGTTTCCAGGCCAGTATATTCCTAGCTGCTGCTGATTTTCTCCGCTCTCTATTTTTAGCCGTCGCTTGTGTTCTTGCAAACTGGGACAATGTACTGAGGGCGATTAGTATGGCCTCGGGTGAGCATTTTACCTACTCTTCTCAGGTCTCAGTGGTGGTGGATGCATTTTGATGATATTGTCACCCATAGTGAACCCCGTTACCCCTGGTTCCGCAAGCAAGAGCGATCTCAACAACCCACAATTACCCGCAACCCTCGTAAGAGTACCAGCTGAGTCTCACGACGCATCAGGGGACCGATGATAATCATTGGTAGGCATGGCGTAAGCCAGCTTTCCATGATTATCATATCAAGTATGGGTTGCCGTAATATGGCAGAGAAGGCTCATCTGATGGATACAACAAAAATGTCTCCGTTGAGCATGGCACCTACAACTCAGGTGTTGCATTCTGTGACCTCACCATTATTTGGCCATTTTTGAGGCATGGCGCTATCGAAGCACGTGCTCTTCCACCTTGGGGCAGAGAGCTCAGTCTTAGCTGACACTATTCTGGCGCTTTCGCTCAGGGCCAAGTCCCGTAAAACCTCGTCGTGGAGCATGGAAGAATGATGGCTCTGGGGCCAATAGGCTTTGTTCAGGCTTAGTTCGGATAGTACCGTTCGCGGATTGACCTCCGAGATACTCGTGTCATGTCGTTTGCCAATCGGATATTCAATAAACAAGGTTTGTGTGTTCGGAACAATCGCAACACAATAGAAGCCAAAGTTTGGGATCTTTTATCCTTGAGCTATTTAGTTTCCCGCAAACCTTTGCCTGAAACCTGTTCAGATCTTGCCAAGAGGCTCTTCCTGCTCTGTCAACTTTGGTATTCTAGCCAGTGGCAACCCGAGCAAACAAGGCTTTTCTATCTGTTTAACTTGTGAAAAAAAAATATCGGTGTCCCGTATGGCCCGCAGGTGTGTCAGATGTTACTGGCTGGGGCACGATTTGTTCTCTCGTCGCGACCTCTTTCCGCTTCTACTTCCGAACTTGGTGAGGTCTCGGGGTTGGCGTTCATACCTAGTATAAGCGAAGTTCACAGTGTTGATGTATTATGCTTACTACCACCCACTGGCAGGTTGGGATTGGGTGCAATCTCTTCTGTGCTGGGCTCAATTTACTGGCTGCTGATATCGTGTGTTGCCTCGTGCCTTGTTCGCTGGCTATGTTTCTGATCGTTGTAGGTCAGCGCTAACCGTTGACGGTGTGATGTGCGAGGCTTTCACGCTGGATGATATAGTATTCCACGGTTGTAAATTCCTTGGGTGCTTCCGGACACGGCATGGAGAAGGAACTGTGGATAACTGCAGTATATGTAATAACCCGTGATATGTATACAAGGGGCCATGTTTTAGTAATATAATATCCCCTTGGCATGGGCAAGTTCCGGGTCAATTCCCCGCAGCTCTGGCTTTCTGCCTCTTTAGGAATCATATGAGTGTCTTGAAGTCGGATGATTACCATCGTTTACTCAGGTGCGCGAGCACGGCATGGGTTATATATCCCGGGATAATATCCCATCCAAGGACACTCCACAAGGTAGATGGTATGCTGCTAAGGGCCATATAATCCTCACAGGGAATATACAGACGGTGCCATATTTATTCCATCCTCGGCATGCTCGCTGGTGTTGCTAGGCTGTACACGGGAAAGAACCAGCTACAACCACAGAACGAACAAGGCACTATCCAGGCCTTACATACGTTATAATCTACCAACCTGGACTGCATGTTTGCCCGGCCGGTTCAAACTTCTTTCTGGCTAGAGACTTTCTTGTATAAGCCATAAAGGAAATATGAATGACTCAAACCCATATTGCAATCATACTCACACATATGAGTATGCATATGATGATTAAAGTAGTGTGCATACAGGCATTTGCATCCACTTAACTTTGGTTGTAGAATGAAAACAGGCCTGTTTATTTTGGCATGTTGATCATTAATAAAGCTGGGTGTACATAAACGGGGCTGTGGTTTAGTGGTATAATATTCCCTTAGCATGGGAGAGGTCCGGGGTTCGATTCCCCGCAGCTCCATTTTTTGCCCATTAAACCAGAGTTTAACTGGCAAGTTCTAGACAAGCCTGAGTGATATTTACTATTGTACGTACATACACTCCTATAGCAAATCAATTTGGTTTTATTATATCAGTGCGGACGATGTCTAGGTAGCATATAAGTATACACCCATGTTACATGTTCAGGTAGCCCAGCCTACCTAACCCAGTGATCTTGACACCGGCCGTTATCCATTACAGCTGGTGTTAATCCTCTTAAGTAGGCAGTAGAGCTTTATGGTCCTTTCCCTTTCTAAGTTTGTACTATTATATTTTGAGAATATGTGGCACGGGAATAGACCATAAAACTCCAGTAACAAGATAGAGAGAAGTAGACACAAGACTATTTAATACATATCCCTATCAATAGAAATACATTCCTCAGCCTAAAAGAGCTCTAATATTTCCCGATGTAAGAAGTGTTTTGATAGGAATGTCATTATTTCCAATACCGATGCCGGTTGTATGGGAGAGATCGCTGGTGTCTATCAATTATCTCTTCATAATGAGAATGGGCTCTGTGTTCATGGCGTGGTCATGTTTTGGGAAGAACCGGATCGACTCAGGGCTACTACGTTTGTTACCTGCTGGCTTGAGTGACAAAAAGCTGGAGTTGCGGGGAATCGAACCCCGGACCTCTCCCATGCTAAGGGAATATTATACCACTAAACCACAACCCCTCCTATATTATGCTTCTCTTGCTTTACTTCCATCATGGAGAACCAGTCACTACCAAGGACTGAGACTGCCATTCACACCATAGACTTTCATGTCAGGCTGTGTTTAGCTCATAGTATCATCGCCATCCTGGCCACATAGGACGTATTGCCAAACCGAACGAGACAAGAATACAAGAATCGATGGGTGATGGGCAGCACACCCCTTTGAAAATTGCTTCGCAGCTCTTGCTTTCTTCCCCGATGGAGAATCAGTCCCGAAAACTTGTCAATAAATAGACTTCTTGATGAATGACTCTGACTCAAAATGAGATAAATCCCCCTATCGCGGTACAAGTAGGGGCTTTGACTTATCAGTACAACGTGGGCTTGGAGAGAAACTAGAGAAATATTTAGGAAGTAGCCTCTTTATTTACCAACGTGCTTTCTCTGCAGGCCTCCACAACCTAACAGGCGGTCGAGGCAAGTGAGAAATCCGGAGGCTCAAATCAATGGCATACCATACTTATTATCACACTCGGACTCGGTATGCCTAGGGACTGCACCTAATGCCTAAATTTGTACAAGCAGGATGATAAAATGTTCATTTGAACAAGCCAGACAGCCGCTTTTTGTCGGGCGGATGTTATAGGACAGTAGATAGCAATTAAAAATCCCATTCCGGGTAATCTATTGTGAGAAGGCTCGAGTCGATCAAGATGCCAGTCACCAGGCATGGTCTCGATTAACGAGCCAACGATGCTGCAAGTGCCGCCCTGTTTTTCGGCACAAACCTAACCCTGTACCTTTTCGGTATCGCCACAAGGCTGGTGGGGTCCGAGTTGCCTCTCACAGGATGCCAATCGACACCGTCAACCGGTTCGATCCTGAAACTATTCAAGGTACGCATGAAAACCAGATATAGCTCCCGATTCGCAAGGAGAGAGCCCGCACACATGCGGTAGCCCATGCCATATGTGAACATAGGGGCATCTGGCTGCTCCAACCACCGCTCGGGTCGAAACTCATCGGGGTCTTTCCAGACTTCGGGGTCTAATTGAAAATGTATGAGATTAGCCTCTGCCACAGGGCATACTCAGTCATGCGCAGCCACTGACCCATGTTACAAGCCCAGGAGTTCAAGAAGAAAACGGTGCCCTTTGGAATGACCGTTTTCTCATAAGTTATGTCCCGGATGGATGTTCGAGGAAGTGCAAGACGGAGGACGGTGAAGTATCTGCATGTAAAATGATAGTCAGAAGTGTATGTCGAGGTCAGGGGTGACCTGTATATTACCTTAGGCATTCCCTCACAAGGGCAGCGACATAAGCGCATTTCTGATCGTCCCCGGAATCACAGAGCGGCGTATCCTGATCATATAATTCCTGAATGGCATTCGCGGCCTTGTCCTGGATATCCGGTCGTTGCGAAAGGAGGCAAAGGCTCCATGCCACCAACGTGGTTATAGTATCGAGACCCCCTGATAGCATCGTTAAGCTGATTGAAATAAGCTCATCGGCATCGAGCTTTGCTTCCTTATCAAGGATGACATTCGCCTGTATACAAGACTTGTGTATACCTTTCCTCATTCGCTCATCTAGATCCCAGTTCAATGCGTTGAGATATCTGTCTCGCCGATCTCTCATTTCTTTGGCCTTTCTAGAGTTCCCACTGAAAGGATTCAGCCGCAGAAGAGGGATATAGTCCTGTAAGTTACCCGTCGTGCTCCTGAACTTGCTGATTTCCTCCTCAACATGAGTGATCTCATCGAACAAGTCTTCCTCCTGGGATGCCACACGCACTCCCCAATTAAGGGTCAAGGATAGACTCAGACTCAAACGTTGAATCATAGCCATGGGATCTACCGGGGTGTTCCCACTGTTTCCATAACGGTTGAGCTCTTCGATGAAGGCTTTGGATTCCATGTCCAAGTGAGAGACGTAGGATTCCACAGAAGGACGATTAAGCGCCGAGGCCGCACCTTTACGGCGTCTTTTCAGTGACTCGCTGTAAGGAGAAGTGCCGATAGTTGTGCCTGCTGTATTCGACACGATCTATACTAACATGTTAAGCCTGTCTAGTGCGGGAGAGCTAACGAGAGCTGGGGAGGGTTGAAGAGGGTGAAGCAAACTGTCCCACCTTGTGGAAGGTATAGAACTCTGGTCTTGAGCTCAAGGCCTGTGCATTTTGTCCAAAAATAATTTTCGCAGCCGCGGCTGAGTTTACAACAACCACAGGGATATTTCCCAGCTGAATCTGATAGACTGGCCCATATGTTCTAGACCAGATGCGATACTGCTCTGCGGCGTTCTTCCGGATCTGAGCGAGGTTTCCGATAAGTGGTAAGCCACGGGGACCTTTGAGCCCAGGCACTCTTGCAGATGCTCGAGTGAACTCGTTCAGCATGATATAGATGATAGGGACCGTGAAGATCAACATCGTCAGCGCCCGCAAAGGCGACTGGGTAATGCTGTCCTGTAGAAGAGATAGGGCTGCCGCAATAGCCATGATGACCAAAGATGAATGCAATCGATCCTCACTGTCGAGAT